TCAGAAAGCCCCCCCCCCAGAAACCCTACCACTCCAAAAAAAGTCTGTTATTCACAAACATTTCCGGCGTCATTTTGAATACAATGAGTGACTACTTCAACTGAAGCGGGTTCAGACAGTAAGACAATTTCGTGTGGCATGGAACTAGCAGTGGGGTGGGACTAAGTCCCTTGTACTGCGGCCACTTCTGGCGAGATGATGTAACTACATTGTACCTATGGAAATGTATTCAATGCATCACCTATATTTAGACCTAACAGAAAACCCCGACACTACACAATCCAAATTGACCAGCCATGAAGAAAACTTATTATTGTAGATATCAAGCCAAGAGCAACTCCACTGCGCTTTGTTCCACGCCGTCCGACATAAAAAGTATAATTTTCAGTGAATGCATCGTGTTGCGTATCATATATTATTTCTTGCTGAAAACCGTCATAACACAACAATAAATAATATGTGTAAATAGCTCTAGAAGATAATTTTCCTACACGTTTCGGCCTTCAAAAGGCCATCATCAGGCAAATATATTAAACTTTTCTTTATTGAATTGCATGTCAAATATATGATACAGTGCGAAACTTCCAAGTGTATTTTTTTTCCTTGGCACTACAGCCCCAGTGGGCCTAGGCCTACCTCCATGAACTCCGTTCACTTCGATTTTTCTAGATCTTACACAGACGGTAGGACTCCTTGGGCGGGTGATCAGCTCCTCGCAAGGCCTCTACCTGTAGACAAACACAGAAAAACGCACACAAACATCCATGCCCTGAGTGGGATTCGAACCCACTATCCCGGCTTCCGAGCGAGCGAAGACAGTGCATGCCTTAGATCGCTCGGCTAGAGTGACCGCCTCCAAGTGTATACAGTGATATAAAATGATCATCATCATCAGTAATNCTCTGCTCACTGACTCTAATTAACACTTCTTCATTTCTCACATAATCGGTCCAACTGATCTTCTCCATCCTTCTCCAACACCACATTTCGAAACTTTCCAGATGTTTCTGATCTACTGCCCTAAGTGTCCATGTTTCAGCCCCATACAGAGCTATGCTCCAAATGTAGCATTTCACTAATGAAATGATATGAGTGAATATAAAATATAAATTACAATAACCAGTTACATAGTCAAAAGTATAGTCAAAAGTTGTACATGTGATGGTATTTGGAAGTTGGCAGTTGTAATCGTAATATACGTAATGCTTATACGGACATATTATATACACAGTGGCTGATGCGAGTTGTAATCTCTCTCTCTCCATTAAACGGACATTTATACAACGGAGCCGTCCGTCTCACCCCATCCCACGATGCTTTAAAAAAAATTCTGAGTGTTCAGGGAAATTTCCAGTATGGAAATGTTGGTGCTCACACGGTAGCATAGTTGGTTGAGGCACTATGCTACAAGCCGGTAGGCCGCGAATTCGAGTCCCGATGAGGTCACTGGAGTTTAATTCACCTAATCCTTCCAGCCGCACTATGGCCCTGGGGTCGACTCAGCCTCTAACAGAAATGAGTACCAGGAATATTCCTGGGGGCAAAGGGCGGCCGTTGCGTAAGGCTAACAACCTCACCGCGATCTGTGGGCCGATTGTCTGTGGCAGCCTCGACGTCTCACAACCCTATGGGCCTCCACGGCCTGTTACAGGGATAGCTTTACCTCTTACTGCACATGTATACTGGAAATACACTTAATTCTTTATAGCACACGACCTATCTCGAGCAGCAACATATGAGATCTTGCAAGAAACACAAATCTTCACGGCCGTACCTCGCCCTACGATTCCATTACATTAATACCCCATTAGACACTCACTCACGCATTCCTCTTCGCCCCGACCTGGCCCACATGCCCACACCATCACATCCTCAGGAATTTCATTATGTTAACAATACTTCAGTCGAAGTAGGGTGAAGATATTCTTGTCCCTCGGCTTAATTAATTAAGCAACATTATGAAGACGTATGGGAGAGTGGAGACATAGCGCTTTCATTCTTAATTCCAGCACCAGATGGAGATGAGTAGTCAGTTTCAGGATCCGCCCTCTTTATTCTTGGGGAAACTCCCCGATACCCCTAGGTGTGACCCAGATGCGGTCTTGAAGTTGTAACAGAAAACTCTTTTCCTTCTGCCGAAAATGGAACCCTGATTCCTCGGTCATCCAGCCTTTAGCCTAGTCATTATACCGCGCAAAATATCCCAGCTCGTAACTACAGCAGGCGATATTTCTTTTCTTTACCAGTCAAGGTCATTCCACTACATAAAACCTGTTTAAATATGTTACGTTTGGCTATATTTTTATTTCTGCAAATAAATGAAGGGGCGGTAACCTCAACTGGCCAAAGGAAAGTCCACGACCACTGAGAGCCGAATAACCATCCGTACGAATCGAACAGCTGTTCACCAAAAGCCCGAAGGTTCATTACTGTGTTCACGAGACTGTCACAGGTCGCCTATGCTAAAGCAACACAATCCAATGTACACCCTCCCATCCTCTCTCTTCAAGGGCAATTATAATATTATCTATATGGGGGACTCGGTA